TGGCAGAGTGTAACTTTGCTATTTGATATTTTTGGAAGAATCTAGTCTTCACCTTTTTGAGATGGCAATAGAAATGTCAGTTCCTGAAATTCATATACAGCAGCCCTTTGCATTCATAAAAAAAAAAAAAAAAAGGATAATCCATGTAACACTTCAGACAAAGTCACAGAATCACAAAATATGCTGACTTAAAGGGATCCACAAGGATCATTGAGTCCAACTCCTGGCCTTGCACAGGACCATCCCCAAGATTCATACTATGTGCCTGAGAGTATTGTCCAAACACTTCTTGAACTCTGTCAGACTTGGTGCTATGACCACTTCCCTGGGGAGCCTGTCAGTAGATTTAGGACACTTTTAATTACAATACCGGAGAGATTTTTGGTTTATTGATTTTGTTGTGCTTCAAAGAAGGACTGAAGGTCTGATGGAAGGCAAACTGTTTTGGAAAAAAGTTATCTTTCAAGTGATGTAAGATGTGTTATATACATTTTGAGTATAAGTGCTGAAAACCAAGTCACAGGCTGTGTTGTCTTAAATGGACAGTTCTGAATTCATCCCTCTGTGCATTCATCAGTTTTTTAAGAACTTAGATTTAAAATGTATTTGAAGTTTGTTCCAATGTATGTACTGGAATTTCAGGAAAAAAACTCCCTTTGGTTCCTGGATTCATCAGAGCTGATTTTGTCATGCTGGTCTTGTTAGTTAATTTGTTTTTGCCTCTGAAACTGAGAGGTATATTCTCTCAGGTGTATGGAGGCATTTGTAGTGCAGTGGTGAACAGCAACATACAAATCCAGCATTGTTCTACAGCTTTTTTCCCTAGTTTTAGATATTTATTTATATTTATATCAATCAGTCTTGTTCTTCTGCTAGATTTCCCTCTAGTGACAAACGAAGAGATCTCTGCACTCCGAACTGTGAATGTGCTACCTGGAGGCAAGTACTCAGGAGCCAAGTTGAAGTCAGTGATCAGGATGTTGCGTGGATTGCTGGAACAGGGAGTCCCTTCTAAAGAGATTGAAGTGAGTAACTGCTTGTCCTTTAAAGTCCTTTTTTCCAGTTTGAAACAAGAATAGAATGGCTGGATCGTCACTGCCTTGAATACTTTAATTGGCAGCTCAAACGGGATGAAAAGAATTAATACCAAAGACTTCTCTCCCTTCCCCCCTCTAGCTGCTGAGAGATAAGATTAGTTTGAATTCAATTCAATCCAAAAGTATGTTTATATTATTCTTGGTTCCAGTAAATTGCCAAGTGAATATGATGTTAGCAGGCATAGACAAAGTAAATAAAAGCTGTGAAATCTAACTGAATGTGAAACCAGTCTTTCCAAAGTCTTAAGTCAGCCATGTTAAATAATCTCTCTTTTGGGAAAATGAGATAAAATATTTACTGTACAGTAGGTGGGGGGTTAGTTTTGTTTTGTTTCATTTTCCTAGCTATGTAAAATTAGATTCCTTCCTACAACTGCATGTTTTAGATATCCACATTAGGATTTGATTTTTAATAACTCTTTGTTAATGACTTGATAACATAACTGCTCCTAACACTTGTTACTGTTCAGTGTTTTCCTAATGCACATGTAATTTCTTCTTTACAGAACCTTCAGGAGTTAAAACCTCTGGATCAGTGTTTGATAGGACAAGCAAAGGAGAACAGGAAAAAGAACAGATATAAAAACATACTTCCTTGTAAGTCCTAACTATTCTGAAGTTCACTGTTGATATCCTGTTACCACCTGTCTGGTCAGATGGATTGGATGTGGGATGATTTGATTCTCAATCCTAGTAGGAAAAAAATCAAAGCAAGCATTTATAAAGCAGTTTAAGATCAGTGAATAATATATTACTGTATTGCGGTAGTTAGGGATAGATGTTCACAGACTTTTCAGTTGTTTCAGCAGATCCTAAATGACGTATACATAGGGAGCCAGACAAGATTTTTTCAGCTTTACCCATATAAAATTGGAAAACGAGACATACTACTGTCAATAAATTCCTTGCCATAAAATGCTGTTTGTTAGGTGCAAGATCTGTTGAGAAGAACTGACAAAGGCTAGTTCTGAGTGAGAAATATTAACCTCAGTTTTTCAGAGGCGCTGCAGTCCAAATCATGTATTCTGCCTGTCTGCTGATTTGTATTCCTCCTCTAGACATCTTCTTTATTCAAGGTACTGATTAGTATCCTAAATAAAGTGATTTATTTTTTTAAGTAACATCTGGAAGCATCTGTGGAGATAAGTATTATGTGGATGTGTAAAATTCTACATCTCTATTGTGTGAAGGTCTAATTATGTGCACACATAACATGAGGTCTTTTTATTGTGTGGGAATTGCAGATGACACCACTAGAGTACCTCTAGGGATTGAAGGTGGATACATCAATGCCAGCTTCATTCGCATGCCAGTGGGGAATGAGGAGTTTGTTTACATTGCATGCCAAGGACCTCTTCCTACTACTGTAGCAGATTTCTGGCAAATGGTTTGGGAACAAAACTGTACTGTGATTGCCATGATGACTCAGGAGGTTGAAGGAGAAAAGATAAAATGTCAGCGTTACTGGCCAGATGTCCTCAATAAAACCACCATGATAAATGACAAACTTCGCCTTGCTCTTGTGAGACATCAGCAGCTGAAGGGCTTTATCATTAGAGTGCTGCAGCTTGAAGAGATTCAGGTAAGTGAATCTAATTCTGCATGCTTAGAGTTTTTTTCTGGGTGTTGGCATATTTGTCCTTATACCTCTGGCTTGCCTGCTTTCAATTGCATTGCCTACATCAAGAGGTCAAACAGGGCTTCTCTTTGCCCAGTGAGCATGACTGGGCAATGCTTCCTCATTGCAGCTTGTGCTACTGTGTGACCTTTTAGGAGATTATTTCATTATGTTAATGAGTCTCTAAATTTTTTTCTTTGGCCACAGAAACCTATGTAGGGATATGAAATTAACTAATAATTCAGTCTGGCTGGTTGATTTCTCTGTGTGATCGGCTCAGTCTGCACAGTGAACGTTATACTATTAAATTACTAGCTATTTTCAGTTTAGCTTGTTCTTTCTCTTTTCTTATTGAATTACAGAACATCTTCTTTGGGCCGATCCCTTTCTTCTGAGACTTTTCTTTGGGAACTTTCTCTTTTCTTTTTATTCTTGCCACGTGCTGTATGTTGTTGTTGTTGTTGGTTTTGTACCTCAGACAGGTGAAGTACGGCACATTTCCCACCTGAACTTCATCGCCTGGCCTGACCATGACACCCCTTCTCAGCCAGATGACCTGCTTACTTTCATCTCTTACATGCGGCACATCCACAAGTTTGGGCCCATTGTAACTCACTGCAGTGCAGGCATCGGGCGATCGGGGACCCTTATTTGTATAGATGTTGTTCTGGGGTTAATCAGCAGAGACCTCGATGTGAGTATTCAAGAGGATGGGCTCAGTTGTGCTTTTGACCTGCAGGAATTATGTTTCATTGGAGCTATTCAGTTGTTTAAAGAATATGCCATGCTTTTGGCAGTAGCACGCTAGCCATGCGTTAGTGTATTATAAAGCAGGGTGTAAAACAGCAGTACCTATGAAATGTTTCTTCACTGATGACACCAGGGGGGAAGAGCTCTAATATCCACTGGTTCTTGGGTTAGCTCGGGGGATCTTAAGGGGCTTGGGCAATTGATGGAAAAGGTAAAGTGCCTGCCTTACCTGACTGTTAGTACTCAGTGGAACTTAGGTGTTAAATAGCACTGGGGCTGAGCACTGTGGCACTCAGTCGGTCAGAGATCCATGGACTGGTTTAGGACAGCTAGAAGCCAACCAGAGTATCTTTTAGGCAACTGAACCAAAAATTCAGTGTACTACAAACATCTCAGATGAGGGTATGTAAATTAACTTCTCCAGCACAACCAGGGATATGCTTTCTAGGATGATCCACAGGAGGGTGCCAGCGTCCTTATGTTTCTGTCCTTCAGCAGCCTGGTGTAGCAAATCTTTTGGGGAACTTGTAGAAAAGATGAGCTATGGTCATGCTTAGCTCAGTGGTATTCCTAAGCACCCTCTAAATGTCTAGTACTTTATACATCTGGGAAAATAAAGAGTTTTGTTAGGTTGGACCAAGGGTCTCTATTTTCTGCACACTTATCTCCCACTAAGAATAAGCAAGAGGACCTATGTACAGAGAAAGAAAACAAGAGAAGGATGATGTCTGATGTAGGAGGGCCACATCCAGATTGCCCAGAGACAGCACATGCTGGTTTTCTACCAGACTGGCATAGACTACAGTGAATAATTTGTTTCACTACTACTGCACCTGGTTATATTCCTTGGCTTGATGCTGGAGATGTTTCTTTTCTATGCATCTATGTCTTTTTTGAGTTCTTAATTTGCTGCTTGTTTTGGTAGTTTGACATCTCAGACCTGGTGCGCACAATGCGTCTGCAGAGACACGGAATGGTTCAGACAGAGGTGAGTCTGGCTTCCAGGTGCACACTAAACCAGCTGATGAGCCAGAGAAATTCCTGTGGTGCACACAGTGATTGTCTTTGTGCACTCTAATGCAATGTTTGTGCCACAAGAATTAAATTCGATGAGTAGCAGTATGTATTTAAAGTTATAAACATACCATTTTTAACATGCTGTAATGTTTTGATCTGTGTTTTAAAAAAAATAATAGTTTTCGTCTTCAAAAGCATGTGTTTATAGAGAAAGTCAGCTGACCTTTTATGGCTAAAAATTGCATTGCAAACTGAAGAGAAGGCCTAACTGTAGCTTTGAAAATCATTGATACTACCCGAAATGTCTTGAAATCTGCTTAGTGGAGATATTCAACCTGAAGTTAAATGAATCTTTTAAGAAAAATCTAGATCTAGAACTAATTAACTTTACATTAGAGATGGTCATTAGAAGGTGTTGTTAAAATCCGCAGTTTTTCTTTGAATATGAAGGAATTATGAAGTCATAGTTTAAAAAAAACCCTGAAATTAAACAACTAAATTATCAGCCCCATCCCCACCTCACAGCCCAAAACATGTATTAGCCTCTACATCTGTATCACTGAGATTAAGATAAGAAGTTGCACTGTGTGATTGCTGTTTTAGTTGGCATTGATGCAAGACCTTGAAATTCACTTGCTGTCTTCATTTCTACTTACGTACTTACTCTCCTTTAGGTGTTTTTGCTATGAAAGGAAGATAAATGTCCCATTTAAAAGTATATCTCTAGTGGCAGAGGAGTATCTGTATTTGTTTTAAGTTGAGGTTGCATATTTCTCCTCTGTGACCTTTTTGTTTGTTTGGGACCTTTTGTTATTATTATTATTTGTTAGTAGAATAAGCATTGAAATCAAGTGCTGTACAACTGTGAAGTGCATGTGAGAGCACTTAGGTGGTGCAAGCATTTTTCACATTTCTGTCATTTCCCTTGCAGGATCAGTACATTTTCTGCTATCAAGTTATCCTTTATGTCCTGAATCATCTCCAACATGAAGAACAACAGAGAGACAAATAAAATACTCAAGCAGAAGCGCTCATAAAATAAGGAAGCAAGGAGGTCGAGAAGCTCGCAAGTGTTTTATTTGTTCTGCCAATAGTTTTCTAGTCCCTTTCTTCAGTTACTGTCAAACGTCCTTTCTATAAAGTCTCTCCATTATTCCAATTAAGGTATATAGTTACAAGGGAAAGGGATAGCTCATACAATACCACTAATGTCTTCAGCTCCATGGACACATATGTAAGATTTTTGTATAAGAATATTTAATAAAGCTGCATTTTTTTTACAGCTTCCTTAATATGTCATAAAATACTGAAATAAAAATGTTTTAATTTAAAAAAAAGAATTCAAGAAGAAGAAAAAAAGTAATCTTATAGTACTTCCTGCAGTTCTGCAACTGTTTTGGGGTATTTTTTTCTTACGGCATGGGGGAGTGGGAGGGATGAAGGAGTATTTTTATCCTGGCAAACTTTATTACAAAGACATTTTACTAGTCTCTTTTGAAAGCTTGTATATGGCATAGATTTTTTGCCCTTTTAGTACTATTAGAGGGTATCTTGAAATCAGCATTTAAGCTTTAAGAGATGCCTGTTAGCATAAGGATAATAGTGAATGTTAACTGTATCACAGTTAATAATGTTTACTTCATAGAATTTCATGTATATATTTATATACTTTTACCAAAAAAAGGCTGAATTATTGGGTGTCTAACCTTATAACTTGATTACGCATCTCCACTCTGTAAATAAATAAAATACCTAATGTACACTTATCAGTGGGTCTGCGTATATTTGTGTCCTTGTGACTGATTTTTTTTGGCCTTTTCATTGTGGATGCTGACCTTCTTAAGACGTGCAACAAAAGGCCTGTACATTGATCTGACAACAATGTAATCTACTCTGCAACAAGGTTTGAGGTGGGAGGCAGGATGTCTTGGTTCTAAGTAGCTCAGTGGTTAAGTGATACTGTAAACAGTCAAAACTGTTTTGAAAGGAAAATGTCATTTTAGGTTCTGTGGGAACTTTGAATGGTGAATAACTTCCATCAGCCAACACGTCAGCCTCGTATTTGAGCAGTATTCCTGTCCCAGTAACCCTTACCAGAACAGAAGCTTTTGACTTGTGCTGTCAGGAAGGGCATAAGAGTATTAATTTAACAGCATTCTGCACTGAAGTAGTGGAAATAAGGTTCAGAGGCCTGTGGTTATCCAAGGTTTTGACACTTCAGGATAGTAGCTCACAGTGTTCCAGTGTCCCAAAACTGAAAAAGTCACTGTCTTGCTTGGTTAATGATATTTTAGCTAGGAATAATATGACTTGAAAAAGGCTCTTTTCCTTTTTTACATGTCAAAGTAATACTATGTTTTTAATTCCCCTTCAGCATAACAGCAAAACTGGTTGTTTTTCAGAGCAGCATAGTTTGAGGAAGGAAAATTATTTCTGTGTAGGTAGAAGCAGAGGCAAATTGACCAGCTGTGTTGACAGTGCACTTATATGAAGGAGCTTTAAGTTGAAGGAAGAAGATTTTTCAGGACTGCGGTTGTCAACAAGCAAAGTGAGTAAATGCGGTTAGTTGATAACGCTGCTGCTGTTTTAACATAAATAGTAACTTCAGAGGATTTGGGCATGTCTGGTTTTTAGAAACAAAAAAAAATGTTATGGTAACCAAAAAATACGGTTAAAGCAGTTGAATTCTTCTTTTAAATGTTTTGAGATAAATGGCAAATAATGTAGAAACATGAACAGATTTTTGTATAGCATGCTACATGAAGCCAAGTACTGTAAAAACAATTTGCATCAGATTACAGCGTATGGGAAACACAAATCATAAAATGTTCCATGATTTGCTTCTTGTCCTCACAAGTAGGATGATTTTTGGTATGGGATACCAAATTTCCTTTTAATGATGGGTGCACAGAAAAGCAGAGGATAATTAACTTGACCTAACTTCCTCATCCTCAGAAAAGGGACACACACATACACAAAGAGGAAGAAAAAAAAAAAAAAAAAGGAAAAAGGAAAGGAGACATGCAAAAACGAGAGACACCCACACTAAACACCCCCCTTTCAGTTTCTCAGATGATTACCCTTGGAACATGAATAAATAGACATAATTAGGGAAGAAATAGACCTGTCTATTCACCCTACTGATATTTAGGTACTGTACTGAACCACAATCCCCATCCTCGGATATCCATCTGGGAAACCCAGCGCCCCCTACTCACTTACTATTTTAATCATTTTAAAGCAACTGGGGATCTTGTGGAGCATAGCATCTTTGAACAAAAAATGATTAATACAGTTCTTCTATATCTGCCTTCAATCTCTTTAATCCATTTCTTTCCATCTGAAATCACCCTTCCCCATACCATCAGTATGCAGCTGAGAATGAGGTCGAACAGGAATAATATAGAGTTCCTACCCTGAAGTTTTCTTGGCCAAATTCCTGATTACTCTCGTCTATATGATAAAATAGATGGGTGGATCACAGTGGGAAGTATTCAGGTGTTCCAAGGAAGTCTGACATGTGTGGTGAAAGGTGGCATTGGCCTCTCTTGAGAAGTGGTCTGAATTTCTTTGGGCTTTTGTCTCAACACCTAGGAATTGGATATCTAATAAACGCTGAATGTTCTGTAGTCTAACACTTGAGACACTGGGCACCAGAAGATTGTCTGTTTTCTGCTAAGCAGGTGGAACTTCTCGTCTGTTATACTTGATGTGGTCAGGTTGGTTTAAATGGACCCCACAGCTCAAAACTCATTACAAGAAAATGGATGTGCTTATGCAGTGCAATTGCTTAAATTTGGGCTCTGTGGGAAATCTGTTTGGAAATATGCACCAATGTTCATTTTTTTTCTCTCTAAAGGATTAGATTACCTAAAATCTTTGAAGAAATGAAAAGTAAAATGACTGAGAAGCCTAGTTTTTTGAATGGAAAAAATGCTATGTGCTTTCTTGGTATGCTGACCATAAGGTTTGCAGCAGGAATAAAATCTTGAGTGACTTTTTTTCAGAACTGTGATGCCTTGCTGAGTAAGCATCCTGGACATGCTCCAGCTGAGAGGGGTTTTCCTTTTTATAGGTATCTGATTTTTAGTAGGAAGTTTACCAGACTAGGGAAGAAACTGATATATAATTCATTATGGTTCTAATTAAAGAACTGACCCCATGGGTTAACCCAAGAGAGAAAGGATCCTTTTGTTCTTCCAGCCAGAATTAGCTGACAGAAGCGTATAAGCAGTCCCATGCCATTAGTAGTAGTTTATCATACTGGTTTTTTTTCCCTTACTGGTCTTTGGCTATGCAAGAGAAGGGCAACAATCCACAAAGGAGGAATTCCAGTTGCTCCTTGGAAATTGTTTTGAGGGTTCATTACTGTTCCTTGAATACTTTTAAGCAGCCTCTTTCCTTCCAGCTTAAGTCCTTCTTAAACTAGTTATCTGGGGAAAACAAGAATCCCAGAATGATTAAAAGAATGATTGTGTGGGGAATGCTTTCCTCTATCACATATCCAGTGTTTCGCAGGAGGATCCTGAAAGGTGTTAGGAAAAGATTTCAGTATCTCCCCTAAATGAAACGGAAGCAGTGGAATCTCATAACTGGGCCTATATCCCTAGTAAAGCACTTGTACCTCTTCCTGTGATGGGACAAGCCCAAATAGAGACCCATTCTCTTGGGTCTTCAGGTGATTTCTGCAGCTGCAAAAAAATTTCTGTCTGTGTGATGAGGTGGGACGTAGGAGGACAATGAAAGTTGATGTGGGAGAATTCCTGGGATCTGGACAGCTCTTTTTGTGTGGTGACCTAAATGGTAGGCAAAGGTGTTCTGTAGTGACTCCGCACATGTGGCAGAGGACAGCATAATACCCACTCCTGCCAACCCTTGGATGAAGGCACAAGGTAATAGTTGGGCCAGGGTAAGTAGTGCGTACTGTTAACAGTGCAGAATAAAATTTTAATCTAAGCTTTGTGGGTTAAAAAATGGCAGACTTGCAGGTGGTAAAATGCTTGCAAAGTGCTTCTGACTTCCTCCATGTTAAAAAAAAAAAAAAACAAAACAATCAAAACACCAAAAACAAACAAGAAAACAACTTCTCTTCCACTGAGAAACCAAAGCAGCTTGGCTAATTGTGTAGGCTAGCAACTTTCTGGTATATGTCTTCTCAGTATTCTCACATAAGTGAATCCACTTTTAATACTCCTGATGGCTGTGATGTCTTTTCTGCAAGGATACAGAAACCTATGAGCCAAATTCTGTTAATGGAAAGGAAGGCCATTGCTAACATTCATGACCCATCATCTGGATGCAAGTTTGAATTTATGACATCTACTCATAGTCAAGTGAGGACAATACTAGGGGCAAACATCAAGTGGTTAGCACGGCTCAAGTGGAGAATCTGTTCTGTGATGCCTTCTTAGTGCACTTGATCTCTGCCAGCTGAAGGGTAAACTCAGGGAAATGTTGCTCACCATTTAAGCACTTTTGAGGGGACATTGTAGCAAAGGCTCTGAATAATTTAGTCTTCACCAAATACTCATTCAGCAAATGACATTCACCTGGCTGGGCAAAGTGCAGCAAATGAACGAGCCATTGGAGAAAAAAGGCCAACTCAACACTGGGAAAGAAGATGCTGACAAAAGGTGACTGGGACAATATATATTGGATATATTGAAAAGACAGAGTAGCAGTGCAAATGTTTGGTAAGATAAGTTCCAGTGGCACATGGTTCTGAGTAGTGTTTGCTGCAAACTGGAGTGCAGCCACTGAACTGGAACTGGAGGTAAACTAAATTTCTGGATTCCATCTTTTAGAAAATTCCTTCTGTAGTTACCATTCAATTTCAACAGTTACTCTCCAGTGAAGTATTGACTGATTAAGGTGGTGTGCTTGGCAGTGGTGAATCTTATCACTTTTTCTGGGCACTGGTGTGTTTTTCAGGTGAATTTGTGGAGGGGGATGTTTGAGACCACATTCTTCCATGAGAGCTGGGATGAAAATGTCCATCTGTGTCTGGAATTTTGGCTGATATGGGTTCTCTGCAGATACACATCTCGATCCATCCAGTTCATGCCAGGTTCTGATAAAACTGGTGGTAGCCATCATGGGCAGTCTTGTATTGCTGTAGACGTTGGTGACTGAATTTCCAAATGCTCCATAGCCCACTGCGTTTGTTTCTTCAATTTCATTCTCACTGGCCATCATGACTTGGAGCATGTTGTCTCTACATGTTTCATCCTTGCCAGAAATCATGATATTTTGAAGCAGTATTGGATTATTTGTCTCCTCTGGGTTTGGGTGTAGCCATAGCAATGTCAAGAGATGCCAGGGACATTTGCTGTCCGAATGTTAGAAGTCAAATGGGTATTTGCACCTCTGGTAAGAGACAACCTGATTATGCCAATAAAACTTGGCTATTAAAATTTGAGTACTGTGGGTCTGAAGGGCCAGTGGTTGTTGATGAGCTGTTGCCACTGTCTGGTGGTAAAATGACAGTGGAGTCAGTTAAAGTCAAAATATCCCCATGGTGTGCTGAATCCAGAACAGGAGTTGCTATTGTCTGGTCCTCATCCAGTGATGGATTTGTAGAGAGGATTGTTGTAGTTGGGCAAGACCCAAGTTCAAGTGGTTTTCATGATAACTCTTTCCCAACTACCCAGAATTGCAATGCCAACTTTCCAAGGAATTACTCCCTCTGTCAGCACCTTGTGTATTGTCGCCCATTGGTTATCCAACATCAGTAATGGTTTTGGTATTGTTAGTCAGAATTACAG